GCTGGTACTACTACTACTATTACTATTATTACTACTACTACTACTGCTACTATTACTAATACTGCTGCTACTATTATTACTACTGCTACCATTACTACTGCTACTACTACCACTACTACTACTACCACTACTAATAATAATAACAACAAAATAACAATGATTGAATCAACGACAATAATAACATTACGACAGCAACGCCAAACACTTATAAAAGAATACAACAATAACATTAATTACATCATCAACAATAATATTATGGGTAATAATTAATTATATAAAGAATGTGGCGGAAAATATGAAAAAAATAAGCAAATATGGATGAAGAAACAATAAATAACTAAACAAAGCAAATAAACATGTTAAACAAAGATAAATAAAAAACATTTTTAACATTTTTTGTGTCTAATCGTTTAAATCGAATTTTTTTACTATGTAGTATTTATACACTTTGAAGGTAGGAGCGTTCAGTGATTAAATATAACAAATAAGATCTGTAGTCAATTAAATTGTTGGTACTTTGTTCGCAAATTTAGCGATTCTTAATTATAATTATTCTGAAAACATAAAAATAATTATACTGCTGACACGATTAAATGTAAGTAATCGTAAAACAGTAGTAGCAAAATATTAGACTCAGAATATTGTTACCATAGTAGAGTTACTCATTACCGAACTGATCTAGAGGAATAATGCATCCATCTTCATCATTGATGAACCTGACATTCGCATCAGCCGGAGTGACGTAGTAGAAGTTGGAACTTTCGGAACTAGGTCGGTTCAAATTAGGCAGCTGAGTCTTCTGGCTGACATTGTACTCTTTCGACTTTAGCTGTTTGCCATGAAAATTGTACTTGTAGTAAGTAGTCAGTAATAATGAATATTAAACATTGAACACTGTTAAATAAATAATCTTAAGTATTAAACATTAAATAATAATTAATAAAATAATAATTAAATAATAATTATAAACATTAAACTAACTGCAACTCAAAAAGCAATCGCCAGCCTCTCAAAATCGAAATAAAAACATTTACTGGAATTTTTTTCCAATGCAAACCTTCCTCTTGCAGTACCTCCTGCATATGTAGACGGTGCCGAAAATGGAAGAAAGTGCAAAGACAGCCCACAAACCGAAGAGAACCATGGCTAGAGTTAGACCCGCGTCGGATTCCGCATTCGTTTGGACTGCCGTTGTTAATACTGCTGTAGCAACGGCAGTGGTAGTAGTAGTGGCGGCGGTGGTTGTAGTAGTAGTGATTGT